CTAAATAAATAAATAAATAAATTTTTAAAAAAATAAAGATCTATTGTGGAAAGGCCTTTATGAACTGTTTCTCTGCTGAACTGAAAAATAGAATAAAGGTACAAAGAGAATCCAAATGAAGAGACTCTTGTGAGCTGAGAGATTACTCTTATTAAGTCAGCTGTCGAACTATAGAGAATGATACAGGATTATCTATGTATAGAATTCCCACTGGTATGTATGAAAAACTAGAGAAATGTGATAGAATGTTCTTATGGATTCTCAGATTTTATACGTAAATAGCTAACATGGATAAACCTTTCTTATTTATATTCCTTAGAAGAGAAAAAAAAAAGAAACCCAAGGTCAGGGATGGGTTAGGGAATGCTTGCTTGGAAGTAAGAAAAAAAAGGCTTTCCTTTGGATGAACTTTGTTATTTCTTTTTTCTTTTTTTTTTTTTTTGTTATTTCTTAAAATCTTAGGAGTTGAAGGGGCCGGGGAGATGGCTCAGTAGGATAAGCATTTGATTGCCAAACTTAAGGATCTGAGTTCAATCCCCGGTTCTGCAAAAAAAAAAAAAAAATCTTAGGAGTTGAACCCAGGTATTGCAACTGCCCTTCTCTTGAGAACCACCCCCAGCTTTTATTGTATCTTATGATAGAGTCTGGCCAAGTTAACCTGGGTTGCCCTCAAAACCGTGATTCTCCTGCGTTTGTCTCCAAGTAGTGGAATTACAGGCATGAACCATGTACAGCATGGATAGGCTTTTTTGTCTTGTTTTAGTGTAATGTTTTATCAGGATAAAAAATGAAGCTAAAATTCATTTCTCAGACTAGGTTATTCTCAAAGATTGTTATCCTACAGCTGTCATTGATTGATGCTTTCTGAGTTAGGGTTAAAAATTAAATGGAGTCTCTTGCTTTAAAGTATAATTCTCAGGAAAAGCATTTCTCATCAAATGAAGTAGAGGAACTTATGTAGAGATTGAGGGTAGAGATAGGGTAGGCATTCCTGATATACTAAGCATTGTCCTCAATCTTTTTAATTATTTCTTTCTTTTTTTTCTTTTTTTTTTTTTTTTTTTTGCGGAACCAGGGATTGAACTCAGGCCCTTGTGCTTGCCAGCGAAGCGTTTATTCCACTGAGCCATCTCCCCAACCCCTTTAATTATTTCTTATTCTCTGACTTTTTCCTGGTTTCTTTTTAGGTGTAGTGTTGAGTCCTCTTTGAGTTGTCATTCTCCTTTCCTGGGAAAATGGCACTGTCTAAGAGGGAGCTGGATGAGCTGAAACCATGGATAGAGAAGACAGTGAAGAGGGTACTGGGTTTCTCAGAGCCCACAGTGGTCACAGCAGCGTTGAACTGTGTGGGGAAGGGCATGGACAAGAAAAAGGCAGCTGGTATGTATGGTTCTTTTGATGTAACCTAGAGGATGCTCACAAATACTGCTTTGAACATTCCCAAATTCTCCCTTTTAGGAGCACCTAAAGAAAGGTCAGGCCCACCTTGTATTTTTTCTTGGATTATAATGGAAGTAATTTAAATAATTAACATTTCTTCATTGCTTACTTTTTATATTGTAAAATATTTTGAATCTCAGGCTGACTTAATACCATACTGAGTCACTATGTTAGGTTCACTTAGGAAATTTGCTTAAGTCAGAAAGACATAATTCAGATTCAGTTTGATTCCTGAGCATAAGGAAGTCTTTATAAAGTACATTTTAAAAGTTCATGGAAGCTGGGTGTTATGGTACATGCCTGTAATCCCAGGGCTTGGGAAGCTGAGGAAGTAGGATTACTGGGAGTTCAAGGCCAGCCTGGGCTACAAAGTAAGAGCTCTAGGCCAACTTGAACTGCATAGTGAAACCCTATCTCAGAGAGACTAAAAGGAAAAAAGTTCATTGAGGAAGGTTTTGCTTCTACTGTACTAGTCTGTAAGCTATTTGGGAAATTTTGCATGAGTTATTCATTTTAAGCTTTGATGCTCAAATGTTAGCAGGATCTAATGGCTATGCTGCTCCTCATTCCAAAAAAACCCCAACAACCTATAACTGTATTTTTACTTCACACAACAGGGTCAGTTAATGTAACAAAATTTATGGGAGTGCTGCAGAGAACTTTTTGTTTGTTTGTTTGTTTTTTGCGGAACCAGGAGTTGAACTCAGACCCTTGTGCTTGCCAGGGAAACACTTATTCCACTGAGCCATCTCCCCGGCCCTGCAGAGAACTTTTTAAAAAATTTTTTTGTCCTTCCTATAGATAAAATTCCAGAGTTAGTGTATGTTATGTGCCTATTATGTTACATGTCTAGGATTCTATACTCTAACCTTTTTAATCCTACCACCTCTTTTTCCATGTTAGACCATTTGAAACCTTTTCTTGATGACTCTACACTCCGATTCGTGGATAAACTGTTTGAAGCTGTAGAGGAAGGCCGAAGCTCCAGGCACTCCAAGTCTAGCAGTGACAGGAGCAGAAAACGAGAGCTAAAGGTAGGTTTCAGTTCACTATCTAATGAGCTTAGATAACAAAGTTGTTGAACTTACTTGGCTTACACATTTATATCCACCATTAAAATACCTAACATCTAGGAGAGGTCCTTAGAATTAAGTAGAGGAGGTAAATTTGTATTATCACCATCTTATGGTGTTGTACTTAAGTTCATTTGAAATATTTGAAGAATTAATAGTTAGCTTTGTCCTGTTTTCATAGAGTTAGGAGTTTTGGTTCTCATGTTTCTTCACACCCATCTCCCTTATTACTGTATATAAATTGATTGCTCTAAGATTTTGTATCTTTTTATTTTTTTGAAGTTTACTAAGTTGCCTCAGTGTGACTCCATTGTTACCTGAATTGGAGATCTCACTGTTGCTCATTTATAGGTAGGTTTCTTTGCACTACACTGGTAGATAGGCTACCTAAAAATTACTGTACACTCTTGAGAGCTTACCATTTTCTGTATAGCATTATGCAGGTCATCTGGCCCCATGGGGTACAAAGTGGCAGCCAATACTCTTGTGTACTACACTTTGTATTCTGTTTTACTGATTGTGGCCTTTTTCAATATTAGCAGTGTCAATTAGTTGATCTCTTTTCACTCGAGTAGCCTATCTCTCTATCACATTTACCTTTATGTCTTTTTAAAAAACTTTCTGTGGTTCATATCAAACCTTCCAAAATGCTTTTAGTACCTTGCTATCCTATTGATTTCCAGAGACACAAAGAGTGACTAAGCAGTATCTACTTGGTTCTTTGGCTAGGCTATCGAACCAATAAAAATAGAAATTCTTGTGCCTTTTATTTTTAGAGCATTGTAGGGTGATCAGAGGAATAAGAGATAGTTCTTGCCTTTCAGAAAAAAAAAAAAAAAAAATAGGCAATTCTGAAAAGATGGAGGGTGCAATAAAATATAGTCAAAAATTTTAAAATCTGAGTTCCATATAAATTTTAGGGTTGATTATATAGAATTTCAACTTCTAAGGAGTTTTGTTACTTAAGGGGGAGTAATTAATTCACTGCATACACAGATCTCTACACGAAGATTATATTAAGATAGGGCATGCCTGTGTAAGAGCTTCTCATGCTATGAGTGAAGTGACTACAGTGGGTGGGATTAGTAAAAATGGTTTTCAGAGGAAGTATCTAGATAGCCTTGGGATATGGGTCCCATTTTGGTCCATTCAGGTCCCCACTCCACACAATATATTATGGGAGAGTCCTTTTTCTTGAACTGTAGGAGTTCCAGGAAGCGCTCGCCCCTGGCCGAGGATATGTCCTTGCAAAACACGAGCCCTCCTAGTGAAGAGGGGATGTCACCCAAAGCCTACCACCGGTGTGTACATTTGCTTTTTCCCATTGTCCCTTCCAGTTGGCCACTCTTGGTCCTATTAAATTCACCTTGCAAATTAGCCTATTTGAGTTTCCATTGGTGAAGATAAAGCATTATTGGGGAATACTGAAAAAGAAAAAGCCCTTGTCCTGGAAGAACCTAGTTGGGAGAAACTACCACCACTGAAAGACCTAACACTCGGCAAACAATATTAACAATATAGCTTAAGCTAATATGAACCAAGCTTTTATGTGCTAAGAAGATGTGAAACAAAAGTTTGATCTGAGTGGTTAAGGTTATGATAAGGAAAACTTCCTGGAGGAGGTGAGTTTTAGACAGGATTTGGTATAGGGGTTATGAAAAGTTGAGAAAAGGCTTTATGAATGTGAGCAGTAGCATTTGCAAAGATCTTGAGATGGGAACTTTTATGAGAATATGGGGATAAAGTTTTCTTGACTGAATTAGCGCAATGAAGTAGAGTAAAATGGCCCACTTGGTGGAGAGTCACCCTGCTTCTGGCAAGTAGTTATTTGCAAGGTTGCACCCTAATCCCCTGGGAAAATGACGGACTGTTGGTAGGGGCTAAAATAGTTCTTCCCTTCTCCCCAAGGAGAAAGATATAATTTTTTTTTTTTCATCTTGGGTTCCCTTAGGAGGTGTTCGGTGATGACTCTGAAATTTCCAAGGAATCATCAGGAGTAAAGAAACGACGAATACCCCGTTTTGAGGAGGTAGAAGAAGAGCCAGAGGTGATCCCTGGGCCTCCATCTGAGAGCCCTGGCATGCTGACTAAGCTCCAGGTTAGTTCCTAGAGACTAGAAGCGCAGTGATTTTGTGACAGGAACAAGGGTCTATTATTGTGATCGTGATTTGAAATAATGTTTAGCATTTTGAGAAGTTTTTAATTTCCTGCTTTACATTTTAACATTCCTTAATTTAACCAGGAGTATTACGGTAAAGGATTACTGAAATTGTTTACTGGGTACCTAGTGCGTGTCAAACAAAGTGTGTTACATTGTTTACCTAGTATCTACTTCAGGGGCCTGGGAGACAGCTCAGTTCAGTAAGCGCCTGCCTGGCAAGACCAAGGACCTGAGTTCAATCCCTTGTTCTGAAAAAAAAAAAAAAAAAAAATCTACTTCATTGGGCCATTGGGAAAATTTAATGAAATGATCAGAATTAAACTTAGTACTGGGCATGGGGGCACATGCCTATACAGTAAGTCCCTGACTTAATGAGTTTTGTTCTATTTTTTTTTTTTTTTTTTTTGCGAAACCAGGGATTGAACTCAGGCGCTTGCACTTGCCAGGGAAGAGCTTATTCCACTGAGCCATCTCCCTGGCCCCAATGAGTTCTGTTCTAGAAGAACATTAGTAAGTCAGGTTCCAAATGTCTGACAAAGTGAGTATTACACACCTTTTGCATAAGAAAACCAAATACATAAAAATACTGTAAATATGTTACCTTAAAATGGTAAGGTAGAGGCTGGAAGTGGTGGCGCACACCTGTAATCCCAGAACTCTGAGAGGCTGAGATAGGAGGATCATTGTGAGTTTGAGAACAGGCTGGGCTACAAAGTGAGCGCAAGGCCAGCCTGAACTGCATAGTGAGACCCTGTCTCAGAAAGACAGGGAAAAAAAGGTAAGGTAGATACTTGAGCTTTTTCACAATTCATTCACATCTACAAATGGTTGTAAAGTCAGATCCATTTCTATCTGTGAAAATTAGCAACTTGACTGTTCAAAATCAGAGATTTACAGTAAGTCAGAAAGATAATAAATTCTAGCCCCACATGGTCAAATTAGAAGACTGTCTCAAAATAAAAAGGTGGGTGGTGGGGGCTTGCACGTTAGCTCAGTTGTTTAAAGCACCTGCTTTGGCAAACTCAGTCAGGTACAGGGGACTGCAGTTCGATCCCAAGAACCACATGCTGCACTAGACCGCCCCCCTTAAGGCAGCCTGAGCAAGCCAGAACAGAAACAATAAAAGAATCCTCGGGGCCAGCGAGATAGCTCAGTAGAATAAGCACTTGCCTGGAAAGCGCAAGGGCCTGAGTTCAATCCCTGGTTCCGAAAAAATAAATAAATTAAATAAAATAAAATAAAAGAATCCTCCTCAGAAAGTGGGTGATGTGAGATGTACCTCAGCTTGAAGACTGGTTTGAATCCCCATAGTATAGGGGGATGTTTGGTGTGATGGCACACCTCTAATCCCAGAGCTTGGGAAACTGGAGCAGGTGGCTCACATTGAGTTTGAGGTGAGTCTGGACTCCCTGCTGATGAGTTCAAAAACAAACTGAACTATGTAGTGAGGTCCTGTCTCAAAAAATGAAAAAACACCAAACATCTTGAATATAGAATAGAATACAGAAAACTATTTTTCAGATATACAAAGAAAATCTAACCCATTTATAAATAATTTTAAGTTGACTTGCATTTAACAAGTGTTAAACAATTTTGATTTTTTTTTTTTTTTTTTTTTTTTTGCGGTACTGGGGATTGAACTCAGGGCCTTGCACTTACCAGGCAAGCACTTAATTCTACTGAGCTATCTCCCTGGCCCCAATTTTGATACTTTATAAGAAATAAATATTTCATTAACCATTTTAAAAAATTAGGGCCCAGTGCAATGCAACACACTTATTATAATCCTAGCACTCTGAGAGGCTGTCAGGAGGATTACAAGTTTGAGCCCAACTTGGGCACTTCAACATCTTAGAAAAAGGGTGAGGGGGTTTAGCTCAGTGGCACAGTGCCTTTCTAGAAAGTGTGAGGTCCTAAGTTCCAGTCCTGGTACCTTCCCCAAAAGGGAGGGGCTGGGAATGTAGTTCACTATGAAAATCTTCAGTTCAACTTCTAGTACTGAAAAAAAATGAGGTGAGGATAGAAGGAGAGGAATAAGATATATACTATTTTATATGGATGGATAGATTTTTTTATATGTGGTATTCTTGGAAGGAAAGAAACTAAAGGAACTAAAGATTTTTTTTTCTTTTTAATACAGCATAAAATAAGCATGTGTGGGGGCCTGGCCCTTAACTCAGTTCTTTAAGTGGCTGCTTCAACAAAGCAGTCAGCCTCAGGTTGCTGTGGTTCGATCCCCAGAATTCAAGCCAGCCAAACCTGCCCTGAAGGCATTCTGAGCCAGCCAGAAAAAAAAAAAAAAAGAAGCATGAGGCTTGAAAAATTCAACCCCTTTTGTTTTATTCATTTTATTTATTTTGAGGCAGGATCACCCTAGGTAGTACAAGTTGGCCTTAAACTCACAAACTTACAGTGATCTTACTGTCTCAGTCTCCCAAGTGCTAGAATTACAAGTGTATGCCACCACATCCAGATCTTTTTTAATTTAAAAATTTTCAAATAAGGGGCTGGTGAGATGGCTCAGTGGTCTAAAGCACCTACTTAGAACAAGCTTAGCAAAGCACAGGGACCGTGGTTCAATCCCCCAGCACCACATGCCAGCCAGCCCCACCCCCTGGTGAGCTGAGCTGGCTACACACACATACACACATACACACAAATAAATAAAAATTTAAAAAAAATAAAAATAAAATTTTTTCAAATAAGCCAGGTGAAAAAAAAAAAAAAAAACAAATAAGCCAGGTGGCATACACCTGTAACCCCAGCATTGGGTAGGCTGAGGCAGGAGGATTACTGTGAGTTCGAGGCCAGTTTGAACTATACAGTGAAACCCTGACTCAAAAAGACAAATTAATTCAAAAAATTTTGAATGAGGGCCAGTGAGATATCTCAGCAGACTAAAAGCCTGCTTAGGCAAGCGTAGGGACCCAGGGACCGGTTCGATTCCTGGTACCACAAGCCATCCCTGCCTTACGCTGGGCATGCTGAGCCAGCCACTGAGACCACATGAGACTGGGCGTTGTGGTGTACACTCGTAATCCCAGTACTGGGGAGACAGAAAACAGCAGGAGGATCACTATGAGTTTGTGCTGTATAGTGAAATCCTGTACCAAATACATAAAAAGGAAAAAAAAAATTTTTTTTTGAATGGTACAAATACATCACCTACTCAATACTAAAAGCAAATTAATCCCCAGGCCTTCCCCGAGACTGGACATGGTAGCACACTCCTGTAATCCCAGCTCTTAGAAGGCTGTAAACAGGTGGATCAGGGGCAGGGAGATGGCTCAGTGGAATAAGCACTTCCCTGTCAAACGCAAGGGCCTGAATCAGTCCCCAGTTCTGCCAGGGGAAAAAAAAAGAAAACAAAAACAGGCAGATCACTACTAGTCCAATCTAGTAGTGAGACCCTGAACCTTCCCTGAAATACCAAAAAAAAAAAAAAAAACTTAAAGCCAGGTATGGTGATTATACTTGTAATCCCAGCACTGGGGAGGTTGAAGCAGGAGGATTGCTGTATGTTGAAAAGGCTGGCCTGCATTATATGGTGAGCTCAAGGCCACCTTGTCCCACACTCAAATTTTAGCACTCTGGGCCAGGTGTGGTGGTACACACCAGTAATCCCAGCACTCCTTGAGGCTGAGGCAAGAGGATCATTTCAAGTTCAAGACCATCCTGGGCTACTACAAAGTGAACTCAAGGCCAGCCTAAGCCACATAGTGAAACCCTGTCCAAAAAAAAAAGGTAGATCCAACAAGATAGCTCAGCTGACTAAGCATCTGCTTAGGCAAGTAGGGAGGTTGATCACCAGTACCACTTGCTGCATTGGCCCTGCCCTCAGGCATGCTGAGCCAGCCATTAGCACTGGGGTGGCTGAAAACAAGAGAATCACTATGAGTCTCCCACATGCATTAAAAAAATAGTAATTTTAGCACTCTGGGAGGCTGAGGCTGGAAGATTGCAAATTTGAGCCCAGTGTGGGCAGGTTAGGAATTTACTGACCCACTAGCTTATTGAATGAATGAATGAATTAATTAATTAATTAATTAATGAAGCTAGAAATGGAGCTCAAGGTTCAGTAAAGAGTGCCACACCCAAAAAAGAAAGAAAGAAAAGAAAACACTGAAATGGAATAATTTATATGGGTTTTGTTGGGAGGTTTGCATGCATCATTTACATGTGCAGAATAGCCCTGTAAAGTAGGTAGTAGGTATTAGTTTCCTTCCTTTCAGGCATTGAGAGGCTTAGAGATTAAGTACCTGTTCAACACAAGTGGAATGTGACAGAGTTAAGAATCATACTCAGAAAGAGGGGGAAAGGGGCTAAAGAGGCTAAGGGAATGGGGGAAGAAAAAATCAAGATATATCTGTACACAAATGTCCTATGATGAATTAGGAATCATTTGTATCAAAAGAATACCAATAAAATTAATTTCAAAAAAGAATCATACTCAAATTTGCCTGTGTCTTAAATCACCAGGCTATGTTACTACCTAGCTATATATCAGTCCTGAAAGTTGAAAAATTCTAGTGCTCAGATTTGATAGCTTATCTTTACCATATTTTCTAGTCTGTATGCAAGAAAAGTATGTTGGGAGTCATTTGGGAATTTTCAGGTTTCTAGACCTGAGTATATTTTGGGCTTAGCATTTGTGTTGAAATAAAAAAGTAAAATTAACACTTGTTCAATTTTTCCTACCTGGAACACAGATTAAACAGATGATGGAGGCAGCAACACGACAAATTGAAGAAAGGAAAAAACAGCTGAGCTTCATTAGCCCACCTGCAGCTCAGGTACTGTGGACACATTACTCTTCACATTTCTTGACATCCATTCAAATGAGACTACAAAAGATTCCCTTTCACAGTCATCTGCCATAGCCTGCATGGGGTGTATGTGTGTGGTTTTTTTTTTTTTTTTTTTTTATTTTTTTTTATTTGTGTGTGTGTGTGTGTGTGTGTGTGTGGCCAGCTCAGCCCACCTGGGGGCAGGGCCGGCTGGCATGTGGTGCTGGGGGATTGAACCGCGGTCCCTGTGCTTTTTGCTAAGCTTGCTCTAAGTAGGTGCTTTAGACCACGGAGCCATCTCACCAGCCCCGGGGTGTATGTGTTTGTGTAGATCTGCTTATTTCAGTCCTTTTGACTTTTCTCTTTCACAGCCAAAGACACCTTCTTCATCACAGCCAGAGCGACTTCCAATAGGCAACACTATTCAGCCTTCCCAGGCTGCCACTTTCATGAATGATGCCATTGAGAAGGCAAGGAAAGCAGCTGAACTACAAGCCCGAATTCAGGCCCAACTGGCACTGAAGCCAGGCCTCATTGGCAATGCCAACATGGTGGGCCTAGCTAATCTCCATGCAATGGGCATTGCTCCCCCGTGAGTATAGCTTCATGGCATCTTCTGTCATATTTGAAGCTTGAGAAGCAGTAAGCATCTTTGAATGTTACTGATTCTGTTCTTCCAGAGAACCTAAAGTATTTCTTACATTTTCATATTTTATGTGATGTACAAATGCTGATTGAATTTCTTGGCTTCCTTATTTCAGAGTTTCATAATTTTTTCTAATTGATAGAACTGGGAGTACCATTATTTGTCTAAAATTTGAGCTAGCAATAGAACTAGTCCCATGGGGGCTTGTGGGTTAGCTCAGTTGTTTAAGCGCCTGCTTGGGCAAACCCAGTCAGGCACAGAGGACCATGGTTTGATCCCCAGCTCCACATGCCTTACCAGACCTGCCCTTAAGGCAGCCTGAGCCAGCCAAAAAAAAAAAAAAAAAATAGAACTAGTCCCTGAGTTTTTCATTCAGCGATTTACCTATTAAACAACATTTGAGTGTGAACATATGTAAGGATTCTCTATAATTGGGCAAAGATACTAGACTAGCTTTAGTGTTTCTGATTGATCTGGCATAACATGACTGAGTCAAGAATTAAGGGCTAGCAGATGGGTATTTACCTCAGTGGTAGAGTGCTTGCTTAGCATCCTATCCCTGGGTACAATTCCAAGCATTACAAAAAATAAAAATCAGGAGTGAAAACTGATAAGATTACACTTTACACAGTTTGCTAGTGTGGGGGGGGTGTGCATGCGCACACATGGGCGATTTGTAGTGCTGAGGACTAAACTATTGTACATGCTAGGCAAGTGCTCCACTATTAAGCAACATCCCCAACTCTACAAGACTGAGATTCAATCCAGTTTGATGCTTTTATTCAAGACTTTATTATTCATTGATAAAGGTGGTTTTCCCTAGAGTATTTTTTTTTTTTTTTTTTTTAGGGAACCAGGGATTGAACTCAGGCCCTTGTGCTTGCCAGGGAAGCACTTATTCCACTGAGCCATCTCCCTGGCTCCTAGAGTTCTTTTATATAGTTGTCTTTATTGGACTTTGCTCTGTCTTATTTTCTGTTCATTTTGGATTGCTTTATTGTTCCCTATAGAATTTTTTGTGGTCTATTTTTCAGGAAAGTGGAGTTAAAAGATCAAACGAAACCTACACCACTGATCCTAGATGAGCAAGGGCGCACTGTAGATGCGACAGGCAAGGAGGTGGAGCTGACACATCGCATGCCTACGCTGAAAGCCAACATCCGTGCTGTGAAAAGGGAGCAGTTCAAGCAACAGCTCAAAGAAAAACCATCGGAAGACATGGAATCTAATACTTTTTTTGATCCCCGTGTCTCAATTGCTCCTTCACAGCGCCAGAGACGCACTTTTAAATTTCATGACAAGGGTAAATTTGAGAAGATTGCTCAACGATTACGGACAAAGGTACCTGCCTTAGAATATAAGCCAGACACCTGTAATGCCAATGCTTGGGAGGCTGAAGACAGGTGGATCACTACAAGTCTGATATATGTAGTGAGACTCTGTAGACCCTGTACCAAATACATTTAAAAAAAAAAAAGATTATAACCCAGAATTCAGAAGAATTTGGGAAGATGACGGGAAAGTATTGTGCATTCAGTTCTATTTGGGGGAACTAGATAAACAGGAATTTAAAGCTGGTATTTCATTACGATTGTTATTCCTGGAATGTTTGATTTTTGCTGATTTGCTAATTATTTCTTACTTAGGTGAAAATTGAATTTGAAAATTTTCACCTACAATGACAGTGGAGAGAAACAGTTCAAACACTTTTTGAGTGACTAAGGAAAAACTAGCCTGGTGTTACTATTTGCTGCAGACAGTCTACCCACCTGGAAAGTTAAATTGATTGTATATTCAGTTCTTTTTTTTTTTTCTTCCAAAGTGAAGATTTCATTGAATTTCTTTTTTGTTTATCTGCTACAGGCAAACACTCAGGGTGAAGTAGAAGGGCTAGGGGTGATACGTATGTAAATAAAGGATAAAATAAAGCAGAGTACCTCTTTTTTCCTAAACTTTCATCAGTTGAACTATTACATGTGAAGTTCAACAAGGGGTATTATAAAATTGGAGGCTCTACCAATTAGGTGTCTCCAACTTATCTTCCTCTCTTGGTTTATCTTTAGGCTCAATTGGAGAAGCTGCAGGCAGAGATTTCACAGGCTGCTCGAAAAACAGGCATTCATGCTTCAACTAGGCTTGCTCTCATTGCTCCAAAGAAAGAGCTAAAGGAAGGAGACATCCCAGAAATTGAGTGGTGGGACTCTTACATCATACCTAATGGCTTTGACCTGTGAGTTTGTTAGTTAATACCTTTGAATATGGCTATACTTGTTTTTATGTTCAGTTATGTTTGTAGTAATGAGAGTTGAATCCAGGGCCTTTACACTGAGCTACATCCATGGCCTTTTGTAGTTTTTCTTTTGAGACAGGGTCACATTAAGTCACTAAATTGCCTGGGCTGGACTTGAACTTGCATTCTCCTGCATCAGCTTCTCAGAGGTTTTGGGGTTACAGGTATATGCTACCATATCCAGCAGTCTTAGTTTTCTCTTTTTCAAACACCATCCTTAGGTCTTATTTCTAATGAAAGGATATGCTAATGATGGAATTGCTGTCAGTGGTGCTGGAAGGCAGCTATGCTCACCACTATACCACCAGCGCAGATTGGTGTTGGGATAGAAAAAAAAATTGGGAATGACTGGGGTGGAAAGTGCATCCAGCCTTTGTGGGACAGTTTTCTCTCCTAAAAATTAAGTGTAATCTAATTATGTATTATGCATATGTACGTGCTAAAAACATGAAAACACATAGAGAATAATAGGTTGTTTTTTTTTTTCCATTGGTTTTCTGATACTCCTCTCTTGGCATCATCTCTACCCACATATCTTGTCTCTTCTTCCTCCAATTTTAGTACAGAGGAAAATCCCAAAAGAGAAGATTATTTTGGAATTACGAATCTTGTTGAACATCCAGCCCAGCTCAATCCTCCAGGTAATGTACAGATTACTCAAGGCTCTAGATAGAATTTATCCAAGAGAATTTAGCTGTAGCTATAATCTTGCACATACTCACGGAATATCTGCCCATCTTGGCCGGGGATATAGCTCAGTGGCATGAGCGCCTGCCTGGCAATCGCTAGGTCCTGAGTTTGATCCCTGGTACCACAAAAAAAAAAAAAAAAATCTGCCCATCTTTAATCTTTGTCTTCAATCTTTACCTTTTTTTGGTGGTAGTTCTAGGGATTGAACCCAGGTGCTCATACATCCCAAGCAGGTGCTTTACTACTGAGATACATTACCATCTGGTTTTTAAATTTGTATTTTCTTATACTAGCGATTGAACCTAGAGCTTTCACATTGAGCTACATCTCCAGCCATTTTTATTTTGAGACAGGGCTTCACCAAGTCTAAATTGCACAGACTAAACTCAAATTTGCAATTCTCTGGACTCAGCCTCTCAGAGTGTTGATAATGTGTGTATCACCATGTCTGGCTTTTCCTTTTCTTTTGCATTTTGCAGCAGAAGTCTAGGTTTAGTCAAAAAAATAAAAGGTTTTAGTTGTGACTGTGATTTCAACTAGCTGAATGCTTTGAGTAAGTCACTTAGAACCTTGAGAGTTTCCTTATATGTAAAAATACATAACTCATAAGTCTTCAAAGTTATGTGGATCAAGCCAAGTATGGTGGTGCATAATCTGTAATTCCAGCACTCTGTGGGGTCGAGGCAGGAAGAGCATAGGTTCAAGTCCAGCTTCAGCAATTTAGCAAAATTCTCTCTCAATAATAGAAAAGGCCTGCAGATATAATACAGCTCAATGCAAGGCATCTGGGTTCAATCCCCCTTACCACTAAAAAAAAAAAGTTAAGTTGATCATGATTGGTTTAATCTTTCACCAGATTTGGGATAAACAAGGAAGTAATAACCTAATTTGGTAATTCACATGACTTTTTCTTTTTCTTTTCTTTTTTCTTTTTTTTTTTTTTGGTGGAACTGGGGCTTGAACTCAGGCCCTTGCTAGGCAAGTGCTTATTCAACTGAGCTATCTCCCTGGCCCCACATGACATTTTCTTTACTAATTTAGAAAATTAAAAGACATTGAAATACAGGTTAAACGTTTATATCTGAAATGCCTGAGATCAAAGCATTTCAGGTTTCCTGATTTTTCAGATTTTGAAGTATTTGTGTAAACTTTGTAACGGAGCTCCCTACCTTCCCCTGTTTGGTGATACTAGGGAGAGGGTTTCTGTAAGTCTCTTGAGTTGCCCAGGCAGCCCTCTGATTTACAGTCCTCTCTCAGCTTTAGGAGTGCTGGCATTACAGGTATGCACCACCACGCCTGGCCCAAGTTTTGGATTTTAGACCATATCTTGGATTTTGAAGTTGGGGGCATTCAACCTGTGACACAAGTTGTAATGATCACTGAATATTACTGAACCAGATACTACCTGTCATTGTGATTCATTTGAAGAAAGTAAGGATTTTATTTTGGTTTTTATTTTACTTTATTTTATTGAGATAGGGTCTTGGCCTGTAGTCCAGGCTGGCCTTGAACTCACTAGGTAGCCCAAGTTGGCCTCAAACTTATGCCAGTCTTTCTGCTTCAGCCTCCTGACTGCTGAAATTACAGACAAACACCATCACACCAATTGTGGTTTTTCTTTCTTTCTTTTTTTTTTTTTAATTTTATTTATTTATTTGTGTGTGTGTGTGTGTGTGTGTGTGTGTGTGTGTGACCAACTCAGCCCACCAGGGTCAGGGCTGGCTGGCATGTAGTGCAGGGGGATTGAACCACGGTCCCTGTGATTTGCTAAGCTTGTTCTAAGTAGGTGCTTTAGACCACTGAGCCATCTCACCAGCCCCCAGCTGTGTTTTTTTTTTCTTTCTTTTTTTTGGCAGAACCAGGGATTGAACTCAGGCCCCTGCATTTGTCAGGCAAGCACTTATTCCATTGAGACATCTCCCCGGCCCCCAGCTGTGGTTTTTCTGTTGTTGTTTTCTTTTTTCTTTTTTTTTTTTTTCCTGGAACTCAGGCCCTTATGCTTGCCAGGCAAGAACTTACTCTTCTGAGCTTTCTCTCCCGCCCATTGTTTTCTTTTTGATACAGTACCACCATTCCCAGCTGGTTCTTAATTATTAATTTTTTTTATTTTTTTTT